GGGGACTTTGTGATTGCCCTACCAGGAAGAGTTGTAGGCACCCCTTTTTTATATTATACTTTTTCCTGCTGTCTTCTCTCCAAAGGACAAATATTAATTGCCAGAGACAATGTGGTCTCAACACCTGAAGAGGAAGCAAAATATTTCTTCAAGCACTCCATAATTTACAAAGAATCTTTACAGTGGAGTTAGTATTATACTTATATTACTATGCAGAGCAGTCCTTGCTTGATTTATTCCCTTTAGCCCTTTTCAAATTGCTTCTGCTTTGACACTGTGGGTTGTAGGGTACAGGCGACTGAGGAGGGCATATGTTCAGTGTTGAGTCGGTTTGCAAAGATGTGACTACAGCTTAGAAGTTACTGTTTTAGATGAGAATTAAACTTTATGAAGAACCAATGTTAAGAATGTTTCATTCTTCTTCAAATTTAACATTTTCACATGATTAGATTAGAGCTTATGAATATAAGGAACATTGAATTGTTGAGGTCAGTCATAACACTGATTCATCTGTATAACTTTTCATTGGTCTTTATTTTTCTACACACGGGGTCTTGAACTCCTGAGCTCAAGCAATTCTCCTGCCTTAGTTTCCCAGTAGCTGGGACTATAGGCATGTGCTCATCTGTATAATCTGATAATAGATTTCATCCTTTCTTTTCATGTTTTTTTCTCTTTGTACTTTTGCCATCCATTCTGGGGAATTTCCTTGACTCAGTCTTCATCTAGATCACTAATTTGGGCCTGATGCAGTGGCTCACACCTATAATCCTAGCACTTTGGGATGCCGAGGTGGGAGGATTGCTTGAGGAATTTGAGACCAGCCTGAGCAACATAGTGAGACCCCATCTATACAACAAATAGAAAAATTTGCTGAATGTGATGGCACATATCTGTATTCCTGGCTACTCAGGAGTCCGAGGCAGGAGGATTGCTTTAACTCAGGAGTTTGAGGTTGCTACGATGACACCACTGCCCTCTAGCCTGGGCAATAGAGACCCTGTCTCAAAAAAAAAATCACTAATTTGTCTTTAGATGCCATTTACCCCATCTCTTGATGTTTTTATTTCTCTCAGTCTGTTATTTCATTTCCAAGTTCTGTAATTGTCTTTTTCTTAATTGTATTCTTGTTTTGAGAATATGATATTCTGTATTATTCCTTTGGGGATATTAGTTATACTTCTATACACAGTAGTGATCAACATGTATAATTATTTACCATGTACCAAGTACAATTTTCAGCTTTGTATGTATTAATTTTTTAGTCATTCTAACTACCCAAAGAGGTGGGTACTATTATTACTCATTTTACAGATGACAAAACTTAGGCACAGAAAAGTTAAATCACTTGTCCAAGGTCTCAAAGCTAGTATGTGGCAGAGATAGAATTCATGTTTAGTTGTTTTGGCTTCACAGGTCACACTCTTAAGCAATATATTCTTCTACTTCAGACATTAGTAGTTCTTGTGTTTATGGATTTTGGTGCCTTTGTTATATTGGTTAAGTTGCTTTTGGTTGTAAGAAATAGAAGCTAATAGGGAAGCTAATAGGGCATTTCACATACTCCAAGGAAGAAAAATCAAGTTTTGAGCATAGTAGGTATCATACTTTAGAAGAAAGCTTAGTAGCAAGAATGTATGAACTTTCTTAAATGTTGCCATTAATGAGTATCCATAACCTGAGTATCCATAACCTCTATCCAGTCTCTGGGTATCTTAGTTAAAAATTCCATAGTGCCAGGAGAAGATTTAATTGTTAAAACTCAAGAGTAGTGGGGAAGGTGGTGGTGATGGTGATGGTTTGTGTATGTGTTGGGGTGGTATGTGGGGAGTAGAGTTTAGTTCTTCTTTAAAAAACTCTGATTAGCAGTAGAGTGTGGCGAGAAGGGCAGGTTCACGGACTTCAGACAAAGCCATTAGAGACTCAATCTTGAGTTCAGAGAGAAGTTCTTAAAGAAGGGAAAGTATTGTGAGTCCATCAGCTACTCTGTGAAGGGACTGTTACTTATAAATGAAGAATTAAGCATCCAACATTCAATTTGAATGAATAATTTAGTAGTATCCATCAAATCAATGGTGTTTTGGCAGTTACCTTGAACATGTTTGTGCTGTATTAGTTAGTGTTTCTATGTTTGTTTTATAGCAAATCATCCTTGAATGAGTATAGCTTTTCCTTCCTTCCTTTTTTTTTTTTTTTTTTTTGGCCTAGAGGTGCATATCAATTCTTTACCAAATGTGATATAATGTTAATGAGGCTGTTGGAAGAATGTATTTTAATGTATCCACTCTTTTACTGCCTTTTCTGTTTATTTCATTTCATTTTATTTTATTTTTGGTTTGGTTTGTTTCTAGGAGATGGGGGTCTTGCTTTGTCATCTAAGCTGGAGTGTAGTGGTGTGATCATAGCTCACTGCAGCCTCCAACTCCTGGGCTTAAGCAATCCTCCTGCCACCACACCTGCCTAATTTTTAAAATTTTTTTGTGGAAACAGCGTCATGCTATGTTATCCAGGCTGGTCTTGAACTCCTGGCTCAAGTAGTCGTCCCACCTTGGTGTCTCAAAGCATTGGGACTACAGGCATGAGCCACCACACCCAACTCCATTTATTCTTTTGAATACCACCACATAAGCATATACAGTTTGGGAATTATAGAAAGAGAAAATTTAGAGCTCTGTGCTAAATATGGTTTGTTTAATGGTCCAGGAAAAGACATCCAAGACATTTAATCCTTCATAGATGTCTCCTTTCCGGCTATACCTCATTTTTAAATTTGCAGCCCTGTTTTCAGATACACACTCCTGTTGGAAGCACTACTTTCCTATCACCTATGGTGTGTGGATCTCCACTTTTCTTTCAGGAAACCTAATTCCCTTATCCACAGGAGTTGGTCTCATCTCAAGACACTATCCCTTTATCTTTGGGTGAGTTCTTCAATATAGAATAGCACTATCTACCCACATTCTTCCTTCATCCCAATTTCTCCACCCCCCAATCCCTGTTAAGACAGTCATTGTTGTCCTTTGGAATTCTTTTTTTTTTTTTTTTTCTGAGACAGAGTCTCACTCTGTGGCCCTGGGTAAAGTGCGGTGGCATCAGCCTAGCTCACAGCAACCTCAAACTCCTGGGCTCAAGCGAGCCTCCTGCCTCAGCCTCCTGAGTAGCTGGGACTACGGGCATGCGCCACCATGCCCAGCTATTTTTTTCTATTTTTAGTTGAGACGGAGTCTCACTCTTGCTAATGCTGGCCTCGAGCTCTGGACCTCAAGCAATCCTCCTGCCTTGGCCTTCCGGAGGGCTAGGATTATAGGTGAGACACATGGTGCCCAGCCCACTGAATGAGTTTTATTTGTTTGTTACTGTGTTTTTCTGTTTTAAAATTTCCATTTGGTTCTACTTTATATCTTATTTCTTTCCTGAGATTTTCTATTTTTTGTTGCTTTCAAGAGTACTTACTATTGATTACTGAAGAATTTTTAAATAGCTGCTTTAAAATTTTTGTCAGATAATTCCAAAATCTGTGTCATTTCAGCATTGGCATCATCGATTTTGTTTTCTTAGTAGACTTGCTATTTTCTACATGTTTCATTTGCCAAGTAATTTGGATGGTATGAGACTTTGAGATTTGTTTTAATTTTATAGAAAATTTTGATACTTTCTTTTACCAGGCTGTCAGCCTGGTTGGGTTCAGGTTGAACGTTTCTACATTCTATATTCTTTGAACTGAAGTTTTAATTTTAATTTATTTTTCAAAAGCCTTTGCAGTGCAGTTTGAATCCGTCCTGTGTGTGCCACCAAGTCACCAGTCTGTATCTGGGCAGGGGTCTATATGTTAATTCAGTTCCTAAATTCTTTGTTACACAGAAAGGATTAGATCCATGTATGCCCACCTTGGGAGTTAGTATAGGAGTTAATAAGCAACTTTTTGATGTGCATTCCCAAGCTGTTCTTTTTATTTGATCTCCCTGCTATTTTCTGTTTGCCTGTGGCTGCTTTTCCTATCCTCCAGCCAGAAAGCTAGGGTTTATTTACTCCATTATGCCACACACTCCTGCAACTGCAAACCACCACATACATCCAGGGCTCAGTGGCAGGAGGTAGAGAAGAAAAGCAGTGGGGACTGGCTCTGTTGAATGGAGAGGAAGGTTCTCCTGCCTTGGAATTTTGGTTGTACTACTTTCATTACTGTAGTCTGGTACTGCCACTAGAGGGTTGCTTGGGGATGGGGACATAAGAGAATTCAGAAAAGAAAACAAAGATTTGTTATTTTTACATTGTCCCTGATCATTAAGACTGCCCTTTCCAATTCCACAATCCAGAACTAGAGGGCTTCTTCTGGAGCTCTCTCTGTGGCCAGTTAGGGGGATACCAAAGGAGAAAAAGCGGTAAACTCACTGCTGATTTGGCAGTATTTCAAATTCTGGTCTTTCTCCCCTGTTTCACATGCTGCTATTTACTTTTCAGAGTCCTCAAATTGCTGCTCCATGCATTCTGTCCAGGTAGGAGAGACAGCTTGATGTATGTTTAATTCCATTTTACCTGGGACTGAAACATCACTATTTGTTTTTGTCATTAAAAACGACGTGTGTTTTATGCAGTGGTCCCCAACTTTTTGACACCAGGGACCTGTTTCATGGAAGACAGCTTTTACATGGACCACAGGTGGGGTGGGGGTTGGGAAGAGGGGGAGGAGGCAGCGGAATTCAGGCAGCGATGCCAGTGATGGGGAATATAGATGAAGCTTCTCTCGCTTGCCTGCCTCTCACCTCCTACTGTGAGTAGGCGGGGTTCCTATGTTTCATAGAAGACAGTTTTTCCGCTGGGGGATGGGGGGCAGGGAGGCGGAGCGCAGGTGGTGATGCGCTGCCCAGTTCCTAACAGGCCACAGATCAGTACCGGGCTGCTGCTCTGGGATGGGGACTGCAGCTTTACTATGTGATTTTTCCAGGTTTGTTTGCTTGGTGTTTTTTTCTCCCTTCCTTTAATAGGCTGATACAAAAAACATGGCCACTGCAATTAGGGAGGTGGGAGTTTGGAGACAGACCAGAACACTCCTACTAAAGAATTACCTAATTAAATGCAGAACTAAAAAAAGTAGTGTTCAGGTAAGTTAAATGACTCTGTCTTATGCTTTGTTGCAGTTTATTTTGCTTTGACCTGTTCTGTCTTTAAGAGACGATTTATTTTGCTGA